GGAGATTGGTGGAGCAGAGAGGGGAGGGCTGCCCTGCTAGGTACTGTAAACAAGTATGTGTGTATGAAGTGTGTGTGTTACGCTAGAAGAGTCAGAGTTTGGGACAGAGTCTTTTACCCCCTGGAGTGTTAGTGTTTTTGGAGTGCTCAAATAAACGGACCTTTTTCCCGAACGCTCCTCTGGTCTCCTGCTCGTGAGGGATTCATTACAATATCGTAACATGGTTTAGATTTCTAAATAAACATTCACCTCGTTGCTAGATAGACCTACTCCTGAAAAACTCTTGTCTGCGCAAGGCTTTTTGTCCCTACGAGGCCACCGTCATTTACCCGACGGGAGGGGTGAGCGAGTGAGCCCTGCAATCTAGAATTTGACCACTGATGTCACTGTTTCCAACCCATTTTACACACTGGCCCATTAATTTTCTCTTTTTACTAATTTCGTGCTAATTATTGGGTCATTTCAGAATCAGAATCAGAAATACTTTATCGATCCCCGAGGGTAAATTATTTATGTTACAGGTGCTCCTTGCAAGAGAGGAAAGATACGTGAAAATATAAGAAATGTAAACAATAGTATTTACAAATATATAGTTAAATAAACAGGAATTATTAACAAACTCCTGTTCATTTAACTATATATTTGTAAATACTATTGTTTACATTTCTTATATTTTCACGTATCTTTCCTCTCTTGCAAGGAGCACCTGTAACATAAATAATTTACCCTCGGGGATCAATAAAGTATTTCTGATTCTGATTTCTTCTGTCGTTGCTCATTGCCTTCTTTGTTCTTCCCATGTTTTAAAAAGAAATCAAGCCAATTTGCTCAGGTCTCAAAGGCTTAACAGCTCATTATTGTCCTCCAGCCTTTGTAGGTGTTTACAGACAGAAACCATTAGTTTAAAATTTACTGTCCATTCTGTAAACACATAATAAAAAAGACATAATAAAGGCAGTTCAAACACTCATGGAAGATAAAATAATAATAAAATATATTAATTTTTTGTGGGCAAGATAGCATTCTGTTTTAGCCTGACGTTGTGGGTAATGTGGGAGGCAACATCTAGAGTCAACACACAGCATGTTTATCTCTTTGTGTACAGCCTAAAATCTCCATACACTAAAGTGTCACTGCCGTAAATGGAGGCATCACTTCCAAAGGCCCCTCTTCTTGGCCTGAATGGCCCAAAAGGGCCACTGTAGTCAGCCCACAGTCATATGCCAACAAATTAAAGTAGGCCTAATAGGGGCTTTTTTTTTTCTTTAAAGGCACTTTATTTCTATTTATTCTCTTGACAGGTGACATAAAAATAAAGTTACTTAGCCTGGGAACATATTTGCTAACATCAAAGGTATCATGTTAAAGCCAGTCTAGTGGAAATATAATTTCCTACAACATCATTTACATCACATAGCCACTCATTTTGTTCAGTAACTGGTTTCCTCAATGACTTCCTGTATCATCCAAATACAGTCCAAATCTCTCTGTTCACAAATGTTTCTGTTGAGCTCCTGAAGTCAGGAAGTCCTTTAAAACTGCATCATGCTTGCTGTGTCAAGATTATAGGCTACAGTAATACATTTCTTGGGTTTTACAACAGACGACATGCATTCATTTTATCGTGTCACTTATATTTGTTCCTCAGAGCTCCATTTTATATTTCTTTTTTTGCTCTTAAACTTTTTGTTCCAGGATCATTCTTCACCCTCTGCTTTATCTTTGACTCTGGACACTGTCTGTTGAGTCTCTGGATTGTGTCTGATTTTGCAGGATGTCTTTTTCTAATTGTGTTTCTGTTTTCTTTACTGCTTGAGTTCTGATTTGATCAGTCAACAGTGGAGTAAAAGCACAATACTCCCTCTAAAATGTCGTAATGTAAAACCAATGCACTTTACTACTATTACGAATGTAAAGTACAAAAATTATGTCTCACAAAATAAAACTTAAAAGGGTAAGTTCACCCAAAGGCAGAACTTTCTGACACACAAACTGGATCGATACCAGTGAGGGTCTGTGAGTACATTTAAGAAAACTATATATTAGTAGATATCTTTCTTTCCATCAGAGGCTTTTGTTGATTGCTTTTTTTAAATAAAGACACACACATGTTTTAGTTTCAGTTTATTTCAAGTGATGCTAAAATGAAAACCCATGTTTTTAAAAAACTTTTCAACACTCCATTTATATCCCAAACACACACAATATCTATAGTCAGCCAAACTCTGTCAGGTACAGTAAATCCCTTTGTTCCACAAACTATGCAATCAGTGCAAGGACCCAAAACATAACGCGGCTGCAGGCCGGAGCAAGGCCTCCGTATGCATCATGATCAGGCCTGTTGCAGCTCAGCGGCTCTGGTGTGTTGATTAATGTGCAGCCTGATTAACCCCTTCATGCCTGCTCCTTTGCATTGGAATCAAATACACTGAATGGACAGAACAAAATGCACTTTTAAATGTGATCCTGTGTTTGAAGAAAGAATGACAAGGCGTGAAAGCATCATACAAATGTGCCTTATGTAATTGCATACTTTTCAAAATTCTTATTAACGTTGCATCACGTGTCAGGAAAGCTTTATATATATAGACAGTACAGCCCTACGAAATAAAAGTCAAGGAATGCACGGTGAAATGTGACGCTGAGCACAGAAACAACGGGGGCGTCTCAGTTTCAGTGAGGAAGGCGTGTGGAAGACATCTTGTCTCTGGTGGAGGGACGTTTTCACAGCATAATATGTAAGTGAGGACGAACAGGTGTCTGTGGAGAGGTAGACAAAGAACACCTCACTCCTCTGAAGCCGATCTGATCCTTCACTTGTTTTAAAACAATGGCTTTCAGTTTGCTTTGCTGTCAACACCTGCAGAGTGGGTTTGTCCCGAGGACCCTGAGAACATTTTGGTTCGATGTGGTTTAGCTGGAAGTGTGCTACTGTCTCTGCTGTTGTTTCTCTAAACCTGAAGTATCACTCACATTTCTGTTCCACATGCATCACAAGCCTCACAACACGCTGATAGTCGACACGCTGAAACCTGGACTGGAGCCTCAGCAGCTGCAGAGGAGGAACAGGACAGATCCTCTCCTAGTGCAGCGCGTTCTGAACAGTACTTTAAATTTACCCTGGTTGTAATTATTGTTCCTGGATGTTTTCACTCAGCCTCCCTCCATTCAGACTCAGGAAGAGGTTGGACTAAATGGAGGAGATACTCTAAATACCTGGAGACGACAGTCAGGGCTGCACAGTCACACCTCAACACATCAGTCAGTTTGAGCCTGAGGGTTCGTTCTTGACCTCAGAAAACAGTTTTACAGGAAAGGAGGTCGATTGACTTTGTTTTTCTGGAGCTCTCAGCCACATGGTGGAGTCTTCATCGGTGAAAACCAAGTTCAGTGGAACTTCTGTTATCACAGTTAGGGCTGGGACCAATTACTGATCGCATTGAGAGAAGAATTTGTGGTGTGTTTTTGTCCTGCAGATGATGAGGCCTGAGGAGAGTGATGATGGTGAAACTATGAAATTTCTTGTGTCCACTTATGGACCCCAGAGAATCTGGTGACCTCCTGACCTCTCTGCCACCAGTCAGTACGTTTACATGACATTAGACAAAATGGATTTATTGTGTCAGTCCGACTAAAACTGAAAACTAGTCTGACTGAAATCGTACAAATCTAATTTCTCACAGTGGGACTAACACACCCAGATCATGTGACTCCTGCATGTATACAGTCAATCAGACCCAAACTGGCCGAGGCGCTCTGAACATGCTCCACAGTTTCCGCTGTGGAGAAATCTACATCCAGAGCCGTGACTTTTTGGACAGACCAAATGTACAGAGCTGTAAAGTTGTCCACCATGGTAGCAGTTAGCTGCTAGCTAACCGTAGCTAACTTGTTTGTCCATTGTTTGGTCTGTGACGTAATAGATCAACAGGAAAAAGGTCCAATACTAACAAGCTGAAAGGGGGCATATCTCTACCTATTGTAGAGGAGTCGCACATACTTGGCTCAATAAATGGATTCCCCTCCCGTGCTTGTATATTAGGACAAACTGTAACTGTAGCTCCACTTAACTGTGCATGGAAACGTGAGTGTGTAAGATTTAGGGAGATGTAGTGGCAGGCCGAACGGCTTACTTTGACTTAGCGCTCTGCTTACTTAAATGGGGATCAAAAGATTTAATCTTGAGGCTCTTCTGGACTCTCCAAATGTTATTAAACCAAATGGATCAAATCTCGATAGTAAAATGAGACATTTTGCAGGGTTTGACGCTCAAAGAAATGTATCCAGTGATTCACAAGCATCTCTTTTGCCATGGTAAAAAGTCTTTTTGGGCCGCAGGTCATCGAGTGACAGACCGAAAAAAATTGCATTACTACTGGGCACTATGGAAATTAGCTTCAAAGCCCAGTGCACTTCACGAGGTGTTTAGCAGGAGCCACATTAGTAGTAGTAGTAAAGCAGCAATAACGTTGTGTGGTCGTCTGCTGATGAGCTGCAGTGTGACGCCTCCAGTGTGTGCTCAGGGCAGCACTTGAGACTTACACTATTTTTGTGCATTGACATTTTTTCCACACTGATGATTATTGATTCAAACACTTTGACAGTGATGAAAACATCAGTTTCTATTGATAACGTTCTCATTTCAGCAGTTAGTCCCAGCCCTAATCGAAAGGAAAAGCATGCTTCAACAAAGTCACCTGTGTTTCAGTGTCACCACTGATGACGTTAGTAAGATGTGAATCAACTGTGCAGCTCTGAGAGCGAAGAAGAAGAGGAGGAGCAGCAGAAGTAGGAGAGCTGGATTCTAAGAAGTACAGTGCATTCCTTCTGATGACACAAAGTGATCGTGAACACATCCTCTGTGCATCAAACAGAAAACTGAAAGAAGAACATCAACCTAAAGTTCTGCAGTCATTGTACAAGTGTCTGAAGAAAACTGAAGTTCTGTGCAAAGAAGTGCAGCTTCCCTCGTCCAGTTCAGTCTGTCTGTCTGTCCTCCAGGATCCAGTGGTGGACAGACAGACTGATAAGATGAGCCATTGTAGAGAGCCCCACAGTGACCGCTCAGTCGCCACCGTTTGTCATCGTTCAGAGAGTCTGTTCTACATGTAGTTTCACTGAGTTGTGAGAACATTCAATCCATAATACTTAACTTTATTTAAGTTCAATTAAAGAGTGACATTTAACTTTTTCCAGTCTTACATGTGAATAATTTTAAGATGCCTGAAAGTATTATTGATGAGCGACAGATGCAGTTTGTCTCAGGGCTTCTACAATGGCTGCAACTCAGGTCAGGGTGCGTTCACATCCACCATGTTTTTATCTGCAACAAGTCCAACTTCATTTGTGACATTTAAACTCATACTGGTGAGAAAGCTTCAGGAAATGGAATCAGCTACATGTTAGTCATGTGACGTGACCTCACAGCGCCTCGTTAGATTTTAAATGTGTAAATCCAAAAAAACAAAACACAAATACAAAACTTCACCTGATAAACAGACGACAGACGTGTGATCGCACCCTGAACCTGCTGATGTCAGAGTGAAAATCAGAGCGATGACATCACTCTCACATCAGCCAATAAAAGCACAGAGCAGATATGGAGCCGGGGATCCTCAGACTCCATCCTAACACTCGGCGTCGCTGCTGCCGTTAACAGGAGCGGCGCAGACGGTGGCGTGCTCGTCCTCACTGGGTTTGACTCCGTTAGACTGGACGCACGTCTCAGTCCCATTCTGATCATTCTGATGGTCGTCCCCCACGCTGGACAGCAAGGACACACAAATTTTACATATTAATACAAAATAATAAAATACATTTTTAAAGAATCTTTAAATATACAGTGAAAGGGATTGTTAGCTGCAGCTCAGCTCCCCGCTGTCCTGGTCCCCGCTGTCCTCTGCTGTCCCCTCATTTCTGTCCCCCTCCCTCCCTGCTGCTCTCCTTCCTGCTGTCCCCTCCCATCTCTACTGTCCCCTCACTGTCTATGCCCGTTCCCTCCCTTCTGTCCCCTTTTTGCTGTGCCCCTCCCTTTACCCTCCTCCCTGTCCCCTCCCATGTCTACTGTCCACTCCCTGCTGTCCCCTCATTTCTGTCCCCCTCCCTCCTTGCTTCCTCCTCCCTGTCCCTTCCCTGCAGTCCCCCATCCTGTCCCCCACCTGTTCTCCCTCCTTCCTCCCATCTCTGCTGTCCCCTCCCTGTCTCTGATACACCACCTGATGACGCAGCCGTTACTCAGCGGAGTCCCTGCCATCTCCTTCTCAGACAGGGAGCTGCAGGACCTCCTCTCCTGCCATGACCCCACTCTGGCCTCTCTGCCTGTGGTATCCGAGCTCTTCCTCCTGGCTACGACAGGCCCCGGCCCCGGCCCCGACCCACGCCGCTCGGGACTGACCCTGGGAACTGTAGAATCCAAGGGGACAGTCAGCCCCCCAGGCCCTTCTGGATCTTTGCCCGATTCGCTGCTGGTGCGCCCCCCGTTCAGACTGTCTGAGGAGGAGACGTGGCTCATCTGGCCCTCCCGCTCATCTGGACAGGAAAGAGACAGAAAGATCCAGAATGAGTTCTTGTGAGTCACAGCTGGGACGACAGAAAGAAGACGTGAGTCAAAGATCCAACACAGAACCTCCAGATTGTCCTGATTCTCCTGCTTCTGTTACAACAAAGCCTCTGTGTTCACTGATGGAGAAGATCCAAGTCAAAGTACTATTATCAGCCAAATGTACATTAATATCAGAAGTACAGATACCCATGATGCTTCCATTATTAGTGCTATTACATTATGGCAGTATCACCTGTAGAGGAGCCATGAATACAGTGTAAAACTTTATACATCTGCTGATACAGTCAGAAACCTGTCTGACTCTTCTCACCTTCACTGATCATGATTTTAAAAGGAAAGAAAATAAAGTTTAGATTGAACCATCGTTCCTTCAGACAGAGTCCATCGTGTGTTGACTCTAAATATTTAACAGATCTGAGATCAGGCTCTCGTGTTTCATCGAGCCAGACGAGGTCAATCGATGATGGAAAATCAGATCAGTTCACAGCAGCATGAATCTGACCTGGTTACACCACTGAGTGTGTCATTCATTTATTCTGTGGAGCAGAGCGCCCTCTGCTGGACACACACACACACACACACACACACACACACACACACACAGACGTGCAGTGTTAATAACAGCACTCACTCTCATTGACAGTTTGACCTGATGTGAACCAGCTGCCTTCGTCTCTCCTCCACACAAACTGTTTTTTACAGTGAATCATATGAATCATATTTTATCAACAAACTTAAGAGTTTAAAGAGTTTTTCAGAGCTTAACACACAACACAGCTCATACAGCAGGATGTCGTTGACTATTTTCTCGGTAAAACTACACGACATCATGAGAGCTGACAGACTCAACTCTCAGTTGAGACCGCAGGATGCATTTACCTCCAGAGCCAGCTTCTCCTGCCTTGTTGCGTCGGCGTCTCAGGATGACCTCCAGCTCGCTGTCCTTCTTCCCAGGTGGCGACGGCACCGCCTCCTGAGAACCTCGGCTGGGGCTCCGCTTCACCGTCTCCTAGAGCCGAACACAACTGTCACTCAGTTCATCAAGCACCAAATCTACAACTGCTTTTGTTCATCAGTGAAATCAGTCAAGACAGCATGTCGTCATGTGTCAGTGTCAGTGAAACAGTTTGATTGTTCGGATTAAAGCTACATGATCACATAGTCATGGAAAACCTGCAACAGTCATGGAATTTCACAAACACATTTTCCTTTGGACACATCAGTGTAACAGAGCTGATGAAACGTCATCTTTACCAGGATGCCTTTCAGCTCCTCCATGGCGCTCTCCTGTGGTTTCTCCTCACAGATCACTGGTGGCTGGAAAAAACATAAAAACACAATTCATTTGTTTTTATCATAAAACAGGAGTTATGTAGAGTTATGTTTAGTTACAGCATTTCAGAAACTCTGTGCAGGTGGAAATAGCTTTTTACCAAATCAGGACTTTGTGATTTTTATCTTTGATTTGGGCGAAGCATCAAAGTGTTTCTGAGGCTGAACTCACTGAGTAAAGCCACAACAGAACCGTTCTTAAGCCCCGTCTCCACCAAACTCTTCCAGAGGTACTGGTTCCAGTACCTCTGGAAGTACCATGTCTGAAGGCTTACTGCTGGTTCCAGAGGTACTGGTTCCAGAGGTACTGGAACCAGTACCTCTGGAACCAGTACCTCTGGAACCAGCAGTAAGCCTTCAGACATGGTACCTAGACCCTCGGTCTGTTCAGACAGTCCTCTTAAATGTGGGCGGGGTTGTTGTCACTCACTGCTCCGTCCAGCACTCGCTGTATTTCCTCATCAGCGGTGACACAGATGGAAGTCTGCACCTGGTTTATCGTCCACAGAACGAGGCTGCACGCCCACATTTTCACAACAAAATAGAACAGGCTGCAGTGAGAGTCTCTCTCCATGGGATATTTAAAAATAGCAGCTTTGTGCATTTAGTCCTTCTCAGGCAAGCTCAGGGGTTTAGTGTTGCTGTAGCCCACAGGAAGTGAGGATTAGAATATTAATCTATTAATTAATCTATATTTTTAAAGTCATTACTAAAAGTGTGTGTCATATAAAAACTAAAGTGATGGTCAAAGTTGTCACAGTGAAATTTAAGGTGTGCTGATGGATTCACGTCATCAACTCATGCATTGAGTAACATTACAAGTTAACGTTCCACCTTAAAAGTCACCGGCAGTCGGCCCAGTGAATGAAGTTATTTTTTCTCAGACTCCAGCTGCTGTGAGAGGCAGCAAAACATCTTTTCATTTTATAGTTACAGTTTACTAATAAAACTCTCCACAGTATGAACAGTGGTTACATGAGCCTCAAAACCAGACACAACTCAGCCCTGAGCAGAGTGACCGTCCTCTACTGACCAATCAGACTGCAGTGTTCACAGCTCCACCTTTTAGTACCAGATCTGTGTGCTAGGTACCCCAACAGAGGGGGGACCAAACATGGGGACAGTATGGAAACGGTTCCATTGGTACCATCCACAACTTTTCACAGTAGAAACAGAAAAAATGCGTACTGAACTGAACTGAACTGCTCGGTGGAAACGGGGCCTAAATGCACAAGAACCCGACAGGCACACAGAGTCCAGCCCATCAAATGGATGTTAGAGATGTGTATGTGGGATCTGCAGTGTGTGTGTGTGTGTGTGTGTGTGTGTGTGTGTGAGGGGTCAGACAGCGACAGTGAAGATTGATGCAAACATCAATATACTCACTTTAATAGCTGCTCTCTGTGGAGACACATGGGGAGGAAAGAGAGGAGTCAATCAGGCAGAGTGCATTCAGACGACACACAGAGTTCACTGACGGCCTCGTCTTTACAGCAGGAGCACAGTTACAGTAAAACATGATGACGGAGCAGGAAGATGGTTTTTATTTTATCGTTGTGAGGTCACAGGAGTGTTTGAGTGTCAGGGAGCTGTGACCTTTGACCTTTGATCTCTTCACTGTTGTTGGACGCAGGGTCAAAATTAATGAGTTCTTTTGAAAAGGTTTGTGGGCAACAAAGCACCTGATTACATATTTTAATTAAATCACAAGTAAAACATGTTTTCAATTTGTCATATTACTGTGCAGGATTCAGGGGTATCGGTGAGCCAATTTGTTGGTTCAGAAGTTTTGATCTGTGTTTTTAACATGTAGCACTGTGACAATAAAGTGAATCAAATGTTTCCTGGATGCCACTGCAGGTGAATTCTTCTGGATGTTCCACATTATTTTATGATCCCAAAACGCCTAAATGTAAAATACAGGCTAATTAAATGGAATAAATTAAAAATAAAAGCAAACCTCTGTCTCAGTGTGTCCGTCTCGTCCTTACCTTGCTCTCCTGACTCTTGACGGGCCGCAGGACGACGCCATGTTTGATCCTCTCCATCATTTCATTCACTGCCTTCGCCTTCACGTCGTCGCCCTCGCCAGCTACAGAGACACAAACATGGCGTTAGCTATTAATTTTTCTGTGACACTCAGATCCATTTAAAAGCTGTAAATCTTTCACATGATTTTTTGAGCTATGTCAGTAATTTAACATCTCGTGATTTTCTTTAAACACAGTTTAAACTCAAATAATGAACTTTCACATTATGATTAACAGACTGAAATATGCCTTGTGCTTCCTCTTTGCCTCATGGTCAGACATATGTTAAAAAGGGGGCGTGGCTCGACTGCAGTCCATTTTAAACAATGTGGAACACTGTGATTGGTTTAAAGACATCCCGTCAAATAAGTCTGTGCCAGTCAGAGGACAGTAACCATAGATCTAGACATCCTAGAAAGCTTATGTCCATTGGAGTGGACGGGAAATAAAAAAACATTCTTATCTGATATCAAATGTTTCTGTGATACAATATCGTGCTGATATGTTATTTAATGACACGTGGAGGTGCAGCGAGACTCACCTGGAGGCTGCTCGATCTTCACAGAGGCTTTAGAGCCTTTGGATGACTTCCTCATGATGGCGATCAGAGAGCTGACAGAGGGAGAGACAAGCTGCTGTGATCAATCAGGAACGGATCAGCTGATCAGAAAACAAATGGATCATAAATAAATGTTTTCAACCTCTGTTTCTGTCATTTCTGTTGGTGCTTTTATGTCTGTCAGAGAACCTTATGTGATTTTAAAGGTGGTTCAATCTTCCCTCAAGGTGTTCTTGAGATATAGTGTTTACAAGAATAAGATGGACGAGCCAAAAACATAACGTCTCCCTCCACAGTGATCACAGTATCATGTGTCTGGCTTGCTCTCACCTGAGGGGGTTGCATCTCGAGGGGGGAGGTGGCGGAGGGGGTGGAGGAGGAGGAGGAGGGGGAGGAGGCGGCTGTGGGGGAGGGGCGGGAGGTGGTGCAACCCCAGGTGCAGGGGGAGGGGGCACCGGGTTGGTCGTCACGGCAACCTCTTTCTGGGTCTCCTGGAGCTCGTTGACTGTGGAGAGGAAGGAAAGTAGTGAATATAACACCTGCTATACTGTGTGTCACACACTGCGTGTCAAGTCACATCAGGGTCTCTGTTTACATTTATTCTCTGGTCAGACCTGAATCATGCTGTTTGACACATTCAGTAAAAATATTTTACAGAATTTATTTAGCATATCCTCTTGAGACCATGTGTTGTCTTCATATGAGGACATCACACTTTGGGTTTACTGGACCTTATGCTTAATTCTGCATAACTTAGACCTCTTGTCCTCGGCCATTTTTTGTGTCATCAAGTGGTCTAATAGTCTAATCCATGTAAAAACAAGATGGCAGCCATCTCTGCCAAGTCAGTCTGCAGCCACTCACGACACAAAAGTGGACAAGGTCCAAAACCTGATCACATTTAATGGTTGAAACATGTTAATTTATGATTAAAAATGTTTGATAAGGCAACAAATTTGATCAATTTGGAGGCTGTTAATTAGGAAGTACTCGTTTAAAGACATTTTAATTTTGTCACAATAAAAGCTTACTTCATGTTTTTATTGACGTACGTGCTGTCACGTTATCTCATTTAGGTGTTTCCGTCTTTCCTCCTGCTGGAGCTCTGATGATGCGAATCCCTTCAGCCTCCGGGTTTAACCACAGAGTGAAGCCTCTGACCCAACACACTATCTGTGCACGCCATGAAAGAGCCTTCTGTGTGTATTGTGTCCCTCTTTAACGGTTTCTGGGTGAAGTCAGTTGGTGGTTTTGGCCGCGACTTCATGTGACCCATTTAAAGCAGACAGATGCCGCGCCGCACGCAGGGAGAGAAACTGGGCATGTTTGCCAGCCTCCCTGCAGCAGATGGGTCATAAACGCCGCTGACACTTTTATACTGTACTCTTACTCTCACTGCTCTCATAGCCACTGTACTCTACCTGCTCAGCAGCAGACAGACACAGTTAGAGACCAGCTGGGGAACATAGTGAAGCATTTAGCAGCTAAAGAGAAAGATTCCCCCCAAATAAAGCCTTTACTCTGCCTGTTCAAGGCGGGAATACAGCACTGTCATGCCACCTCGCCACTCTATAAAAGGTACAACTGTGGAATGGGGAGACTACGGTTGCCACCTTCAATGTGGGAAAATAGGGACACACCCGTAATGGCCCCATGCCTGGGGAACACAAATCAAATGAGGCGTCCTGGGGGTCCTCCTCCAGGAGATTTGGGGTTTCTGATGCTTAATTTCCAGTATTCTGGCTACGTTTTATGCACCAATTTATGTTTTTTAAGTATCAAGTTCAAAGTTCTCGCTGCTCTCACCATAAATGTAAAGGAAAAGATTATGTTATTTTGCAGTCTACACTGTGTTGTGCGAAATATTACCAGAGGGCACATTCATAAACTTAATTAGCCTAATTAATTATTTGGCCTCTGCATGATGGATGTTATTATCATTCTTTTAATTAGCTTACCATTTGAGCCATTATTTCCACATTCTTTTATCTTTTGATTTCATCCTGAATCCAAAGTCAATCAATTTATAAAGTGTGTTTCAATATCAGAGCTATAAATGAATCGTCAACTATTTGTCTGAAGTGTAATAATAATGATTAAAATATAACAGTGATGATGGTTTACAGATACACATGATGAATTTGTGGTACTGGCACTATAATAGCCACAGCCACGCGTAATGATCTGTTAATATACTCCCTACACAACACACATCACAACTTCTGTTCAATATCTATTGATTTACTGTTCCAGTGTTTTATTTGACTTTACAAAACCTGAAATCAAACTGTGGGATTTGAAACGATTTGAAGTGTGTCCCCCTGTCGATTAGTTTCTTACTGCTGTAGTTATGCTGCGTTCGTTTTGTACTCGGAGGTCGGAAATTCCCAGTTCCCAGTCGGAAATTTAAACTCGAACGCACCCTGAGGTCGGATTTCCAACTCGGAAACTCGGAGCAACCGCATCAACCCCGACTTACGAATTCATGATGGCTGCCGGTCACATACATAGTGAGTAGACACTGCTAAAGTACTGTTTATAGCAATTCTATCTTATTTGTTTTACATTAGGTCAGCCATACCCATAGTACTGTTCAATTTTTATCCGTGGGCGTGTTGCTATGCCGTCTGTATGTGCAAAATGCCACATAGAGCGTTGTTATCAACTGAAATTGCTAACAGTGGCTATGGCTAGCCCAACGGTAGAACGGTGACGTCCCTGTTTTTTTCTGACTTATCCACCGTTGTCAACTAGAATACAAAAACTGTTGTCAACTTGGAGTTGACGTCATTCCCACTTCCGACCTCCGAGTATAAAACGAACGCACCATTAGTCTCGCTCACCAGACCTTTCTCATGACTCTCACTTTGAGATTGGAGAAAAAAACGCCCCGGCTGCTTGTATTTCTTTCAAGCAATCACAGTCGTTCTGGGCGGTGCCACAGCAACGGAGCGCTTGCAAAAATATTGCCGGGGGGAAACAGGTTTTGGTGTAACACGCCCACAAAAATATCACCTACAGGATGCGAACCATGGCAGAAAAATGGCTACATCCCCGCAAGATCAAACACCGCAAAAGTTAGTAAAGGATTTTTGTTGACTATGACAACTGGAGGTGGTAGGGCGGGACTTCAGTGGGTGGCTCGGTCCGCCCAATGAGTGCCTGACCTATGCAGCGAACTTCCGCCCACTCAGACTAGACAATGATTGGCTTTCATATCAGTGACCTATCTAAATTGAATGTCAGTAAAGTCAAATTAAGACATTTTTGGACACCTGTGGCCTAGTGGATAGAACAGGCGTCCCATATACAAAGGCAGCATCCTTGCCACAGATGCCACAGTTCAGACTCCAGCCTGCAGCCCTTTGCTGCATGTCATCCTCTCTCTCTCTCTCTCCTTCCCTTTCACACTCAGACTATCACATCAAAAAAAATCCAAAATCTTTCCAAAACAAGACGGTTCACACATTTAAGGAACAGAAACAGAAGAAGAACTCATTTTTGAGTGGAGGGGGCTTTAACGATGAACCACAGACCTGATGCTGCGTTCAAATGGAACCTGTGAACCCGTTTACGACAGTCGTGAACAAAACTTAAAAGATTGTGAGTACCACAACAGACGGGGCGTTCACATGGACTCTCCTCGTGAACATGGTAAACACGACCTCATTTGAACGCAGCGTGACTCCAGACTTTACAGAGTTCAGTCGGCTCAATCAGAGCGTCAAACTGGGTCAAACAACATGAGCCACTGGTGACTGTAGAGTACCAGTGCATGTGTTAATTAGCATGTGACAGTTCACCGTATCATTGCTCCTGACGGGCCTCATTCACAATCTGTGCTTGAATCAAAGGGTTTGGTAGAAATCTGGGAATCATTAATCTAACATCCTAACTTTACGTTTATTACGTGACCGTACGTCATTTGTGGAATATCGCACCAACTGTTCTATGACAATACACTGTTATTATTACCAGCACTGTCGCTCTAACTTGAGTGAACGCTTCCATTTAAAAACCTGGAGGAGAATTCAGACTGATCAGCTGTTTAACTCCACCTGCTGTTTCCACCCTGTGTGTGTGTCTCCACCTCCACCTCCACCTCCACCTCCACCTCCACCCACCTCTTTTCTCCAGCTCCTCGTTCTTCTTCTCTGCCTGCTCCAGTCGTCCATCCACCTCCTTCTTGGCGACCTCCAGCAGCTCCAGCTGCCTCTGCAGAGCCTCCAGCTGCTTCTTCACACAGCTCTGCTCCAGCTGGGCCTCCAGGCTCTCCACCTACACACACACACACACACACACACACACACACACGATGGTGGTGATGGAGGATCTTCATCTATCTACCGCATGCACCTGCTGTTTTTATTTTAACTGATTCTAGATGACAGCGTTGTAGCAGAGTACAAACTCGATTGTAATTTCCGATTATGTTTAGGAAATTTTCTGCTCCTTTTCACAGTCCGAGCACACCTTGAAGCAGCTTTAAGTCATCTTCTTATAATAATAATGAGACCATGGGAAAGCGAGGTGAAAGGGGTCGCTCCACATGATGAACCTCCAAAGAAATAGCCGCCTGAATCTGCGGCTCCCCTTGTGTTACATGCCACACCCGTCATGCCTCTTTGGATTCTGCGATGCCAACATGTCTAAAATAACACATGGGAGCAGCATGAGGCAGCTGTTGTTTGCCTCTGTGTAAAATAACACACAGGAGACATAAAGAAGGGACCTCATAGAGGCTCTATACCGTGATCTCTGTGTCAAAGGGCTCAAGAGAGAAAATTGGACTGTAAATCACCAGGTGACTCCTGATGAATCATCATGTTGTTTAGGAACACCTCTCTGCTGATGACTCAGTCCTTCACTGTGACTTCCTGTCACTCAGACTGGATGAAATGAGATGACAGCTGTCGGCTCCGTCAGGACGCACACCTCCTCCTGACAGTAAACTGCAGGTTTACCTTCTGCTGATGCTGCAGGCGCTCCTCCTCCAGGGTTTTGGTGATGGCAGCGACGTCCTCCAGAGCTTTGAGGAGCTGAACGCTGGGCTCAGCATTCTGCAGCAGCAGCATGCTCTGCCTGTTGGCCTCCTTCTGCTTCACCAGCATCTGCAGGACAGAGTGGAGGAGGAGGAGGGGGAGGGGAGGAGAAAGATGAATGAAGAGAGAGAAATCCACATTTTTAAATACAAACACAACATATCACACACAGACTGAATCCTGCAGGCTCTTCATTGTTCAGGTCAGTAAACACCACATTCAGGACGTTTCATTCATCAGGCACGTTATTAACACGCACATTAATTACCAACACAACAATACAGGTCAGTGTTTATCGCTGACAGCAGCACCCAACTGGAGTACAGGCCTTTAGCCTTCGTCATGGCTCAGAAAATGAACAGTCATATAAAAGTTTAGTCTCATTTTGAACTGGAGCGTCTGCAGATTGATTCCACTACAGCGGCTGCTGTGCCACACATCACCAAACACACCTGGAAGAGAAGCATGGATGGACTTGCACTTGTGTCTGCAAAAGTGCTTTTACACTACAGAGTCACATTCACCCACTCACACACAGGTGGCCGAGGCTACTGTACAACTAAGTTTAAACACACTCGTACACTGATGGCACAACTATCAGGAGCAATTTGGGGTTCAGTATTTGCCCAAGGATGCTTCCACACATGGACTAGAGGAGCACAAGGATCGGACCGCTGAATGACCTGCTACCTCCAGAGCCACAGCTGCTGATTAACAAGCGTGTTTCCATGATCGTCTCTATACCTCGTGTGCGTAGGTCTCAGCTTTGACTCTGAGGCTCTGCTCCAAGTCGAGCTGGTCCTTCATCCCTTCGTACTCCTGAGCCGCCATCATGGACACTACAGACAGAGAGACAGAAAACAACAGATTAGACTCATATTTTATATTCAACCTGTATTTGATTCAAACAGTTAGCATGTTGACCTGACAGTTAACATTCAGCATTAGCTTGTTTCATGCTAATATTAGCATGCTGGATGACCAGGAGCTACAGTATGTAGTCAGTTTGCTCCTGTTGTGTCTCTGTATGCTCATGAAATAAAGTCCGACAGTGTTCATTCAAGTCGAAGCATTTTCAACTAACGTCTTCTTAATTCATTAATTTTCATCTTTGTATTTAACTTTAATTAAACTTTACAGCCTCAGAACTCCACTTCATCTTCAGTGTGAGGTGCAGTGGCTCTGCAGCGTGCTGTAACTCACCTCTGTTGAACCTCTTGATGGTTTTACTTTGTTGATCAACAGTTTCACGGAGCTCCTTCATGTCGGCCTGATCTTTCTCCGACTGCAGACAGCGAAGAAGAATTCAACTGAATCAGACTCCAGCATCTAAAACTCACAGCCTGTCTTCAGTCACAGGCCGAAAACTTATCATAAAACTATATTAACCCCTGTGTGACATGCTGTGATATATTCTGAAGTGACATGAAGATCTCCACAGGTGCAACCTGATGATGCTGCTGCTCCCTCCTCACCTGTGAGCTCAGCTCTTCTATCCGTCTCTGCTGTTCGTGAATCTGACACATGAAGTTCTTCTTCTCCTCCAGTAATGTGTTCACCGTCTCCCTCAGCTCTGACAGAACACACAGTAGCACAGAACGGCACAGTTTATTCCTGACAGACTACATCCTGCATGATCAGCACGAGAACAGAGCGTCTGCCACGTTTTTCCTTGATGTGTTCAGTACATGTGACAATTAGACCCTGATATTTCTGGTGTGTCCATCATCATGACCATCAGTATCTACAGCACAGTATATGGAAAATACGTTTTATAAAACTGTGATGTTTCGAAGCAGACATTTCCTAATATAGGCTGTAGAAATTAGGATTCATCCCATGGAGAGCATGGATATAAAGGCAGATAAAGGCCCTGTCGTGGCCGCAGGAGATCGTTGTTTACGTGATCCTGTTTAAAAACAATCTATAATAAAAAGTATAATAGCTAGAGCACTCATTATTTTTGCAGCAGAAAGCTAAGGCTTCTATCTTCCACGGCATCATGTTGCCTGCGTGTGATGACATCATTACATTATGCTACAAGCAATCCAAAAGATGGCTAAAACGTGCAGAGGTGCCAGAAGCGCAGAGAAGCAGGTTAAACAGAATGTCTGCTGTATTTTTTTTTTGATGATGCTATTTCAATACTTACATCAGTTATTACAGTTTACTGACTAACATACCTTTAGGTTTAGGTTGTAGAGATTTTAGGGACATAAAGCATTTGAAAATACTCCAAGAAATGACATCACAATAAGCAAAAATACCAACATATGCACTGGACCGTTTCTACTGCAGAGTTCAAAGGGTTAACCTGCTGTTGGTGCTGTGTGAACAGAATTATACGTATTGTACCTTTAACCTGTTGTTGGTACTGTGTGAAGGTGTCAGGACTTCCGTCTGCAGCGTCTGCGTCTGCGTCAGCCTCCAGAGCAATGCAGTCTGAGATGCTGGGCAGCAGCTCGTCCAAACAGGGGCGAGACGACAGACTGAGGTACTTCAACTTCCTGTTCTCACAGTTCAGCTGGAAGTCAAAGGTCACAGGGTCAACGACAGCATCATTAAAACTATAAATCAAACAGCTTCATGGTCCTGAAAGTGTTCACATGTTAAAGAGTCTCTGAAATAAACATTAAGCACATTTCATATTCATTGATGTTGTGACAAATATAAAATGTTATAAACTCAGCCACAAGAATAAATGTTGGCAGTGTACGTTTGTGCAGACCGCGGATATGTTAAGTACGTTATTATGTAGCGGATATGCTAAAGCTGTGGTGAACATGTAGTTATGTTTAGGTACAAAAACCACTTGGCACAAGCTTCGGTGGAAACACAGTGACAGGTTGCTAAAATAAAACCACGTTTGATGGCTAAAATGCAGCTAAAAACAGTGATGACTCACTAAAAAACAACCTTTTTTGTTTGTTGTTTTTGATCAGTGGTCTGCAGCTTGGCAGACATCTCTTGCAGGTGTAACCACATCCACCATCCCCTCCCTTCCTGATGACAAAGTCAACTCATATACTACGTCACTTTAGAAACATTGATATGATTTGTATGAAACTAGGCCTGTCACAATAACTGCATCTGTTAGAGGATATATGGTCCCAAAAACAATTGTGCTAAAACAATTAATATTGTCATTTTAAGATCATTTTATGTCACTGACATAATGATAATATGGAGCATAATAAAGAGTAATGAATCAGAATCAGAAATACTTCATTGATCCCTGAAGGGAAATTGTCATTTGTTACAGTTGCTCCAATGTAAAGAATAGAGGATTATAATAAGTAAGAAAAATAGTCTGAAATAAAAGTATGTAAATCTCAAGAAACAAATTCAATAAAATATAAATATAAATGTGCATTGTGCTACAATGTTAATACTCTTAACTTTCTTAACTTTTTTCTGTTCATTGTGTTCAGGTGCTGCGTCAAAGTCTCGTGGTTTAGTGAAACCGGGCGGGCACTCTTTCAGGCGGCAGTAGTCTGTGGAGACCTGGCTTGAGGACCAGAAGGTCCCTGCAGGGACCAAGTATAGACTGTGGGCTGGCAGCTGGAGAGGGGCCAGTTCACCCCCTGGGCACTGCCAAGGTGCGCTTGAGCAAAGCACCAAACCCCCAAACTGCTTCAGGGGCGCCGTGTTATGGCTGACCCTGCACTAACCCCCACACATAACTGTGTGTGTTGTGTGTAACACAAAGGATATGCTATAGTTACATTTCCACTATTTTGTGTTAACTGACAATAAAGAACTTAAATTAAATTAATAAATTGAAACCCTGCTGTTTATTGTGCCGTCATGTTGGCTGAAAGTCTTGCAAACAAACACACATGTAAACCCAACAGGCAATATCGTACAATATATGGACCTGAGCTCCATAATTTTTTCCGACCTTAACAAGACGATGATGTCATTATCGTGACCAATACGAGGCACACAAATGTAACGTAACTGAGGTTTGCAGAAACGTGCAATGGAAAATTTCTTCTGGCGAGTGTACTAAATGTTATATATATATTAAAAATATTAAAAATAAATGATGCCCCTGTTGTAACTTCCTCTGAACATTATAACATTTTAATATTTAAGAACGCAGCTTTCACTGTGGAGTCAGTAACAGACAGTCACATGGTCTCTGTGCAGAGTCATCCTGACTCAGCTGCTCTCTCTATTCTCCTGCTAATGCCAGCTGGACCCCCCCGACACTGCTGATCCTATAGTATTGATCATTGAGTGTGTGTGTGTGTGTGTGTGTGTGACCTTTGTGGCCAGGGCCTCTGCATTCTCCCGGCACGACTTCTCGATCTCCAGCTGAGTCTGCAGAACGCTCACCTCCTCAATCACCATCTGAGACACTGAGGGAACACACACACACACACACACACACACACACACACACACACACACACAGTTTTAGGGTCACACATTACACTGTATAATGACTGATTTCACAGTTCTGATCGGATCATTAATAAATAAGTTAATGTTGATTTAATGTGCATTCCTACAAACATCTGTGAGAAGTATTGATGGACAATTTATTGATAAGACTTGATTCTAATACACACAATATGTCAGAGCTATTTGGGATGGAGAAATACACGTTAAACCCAGTTGTGATAAACTAATTTTCCTTTAAGAACAGACAGAAAACAAGAGGAAATTAAATCTGTTGAACTTGATCACAAACGAGTAGAAAGTTTCAGACACTCAAAAACATTCATTATGACATCACTGACAGTGAAGTCTACTGTCCTTGTCCCAGTATACAAGCACGGGAGGGGAATCCATTTATTGAGCCAAGTATGTGCGACTCCTCTACGATAGGTGGAGATATGCCCCCTTTCAGCTTGTTAGTATTGGACCTTTTTCCTGTTGACCTATTACGTCACAGACCAAACAATGGACAAACAAGTTAGCTACGGTTAGCTAGCAGCTAACTGCTACCATGGTGGACAACTTTACAGCTCTGTACATTTGGTCCGTCCAAAAAGTCACNCCCCAAAAAAGAGCCCCAAATAACCTGCATGAAGAGCCCTGAGCAGCCTGGATTAAGAGTCTCAAAGCCGAGAAAGGAGGCTTAAACAACCTGGATAATGAACCTCAAACTACCTAGATATGGTCTTAAAATTCCTGTTAAAGAGCCATGAACAACCTGGATAAAGAGCCCCAAACAACCTGGATAATGAACCTCAAACTACCTAGATATGGTCTTAAAATTCTTGTTATAGAGCCTTGAACAACCTGAATAAAAAGCCTCAAACACCTGGATGGAGAGCCTCAAACACCCCCCAAAAAAGAGCCCCAAATAACCTGCATGAAGAGCCCTGAGCAGCCTGGATTAAGAGTCTCAAAGCCGAGAAAGGAGGCTTAAACAACCTGGATAATGAACCTCAAACTACCTAGATATGGTCTTAAAATTCCTGTTAAAGAGCCATGAACAACCTGGATAAAGAGCCCCAAACAACCTGGATAATGAACCTCAAACTACCTAGATATGGTCTTAAAATTCTTGTTATAGAGCCTTGAACAACCTGAATAAAAAGCCTCAAACACCTGGATGGAGAGCCTCAAACACCCCCCAAAAAAGAGCCCCAAATAACCTGCATGAAGAGCCCTGAGCAGCCTGGATTAAGAGTCTCAAAGCCGAGAAAGGAGGCTTAAACAACCTGGATAATGAACCTCAAACTACCTAGATATGGTCTTAAAATTCCTGTTAAAGAGCCATGAACAACCTGGATAAAGAGCCCCAAACAACCTGGATAATGAACCTCAAACTACCTAGATATGGTCTTAAAATTCTTGTTATAGAGCCTTGAACAACCTGAATAAAAAGCCTCAAACACCTGGATGGAGAGCCTCAAACACCCCCCAAAAAAGAGCCCCAAATAACCTGCATGAAGAGCCCTGAGCAGCCTGGATTAAGAGTCTCAAAGCCGAGAAAGGAGGCTTAAACAACCTGGATAATGAACCTCAAACTACCTAGATATGGTCTTAAAATTCCTGTTAAAGAGCCATGAACAACCTGGATAAAGAGCCCCAAACAACCTGGATAATGAACCTCAAACTACCTAGATATGGTCTTAAAATTCTTGTTATAGAGCCTTGAACAACCTGAATAAAAAGCCTCAAACACCTGGATGGAGAGCCTCAAACACCCCCCAAAAAAGAGCCCCAAATAACCTGCATGAAGAGCCCTGAGCAGCCTGGATTAAGAGTCTCAAAGCCGAGAAAGGAGGCTTAAACAACCTGGATAATGAACCTCAAACTACCTAGATATGGTCTTAAAATTCCTGTTAAAGAGCCATGAACAACCTGGATAAAGAGCCCCAAACAACCTGGATAATGAACCTCAAACTACCTAGATATGGTCTTAAAATTCTTGTTATAGAGCCTTGAACAACCTGAATAAAAAGCCTCAAACACCTGGATGGAGAGCCTCAAACACCCCCCAAAAAAGAGCCCCAAATAACCTGCATGAAGAGCCCTGAGCAGCCTGGATTAAGAGTCTCAAAGCCGAGAAAGGAGGCTTAAACAACCTGGATAATGAACCTCAAACTACCTAGATATGGTCTTAAAATTCCTGTTAAAGAGCCATGAACAACCTGGATAAAGAGCCCCAAACAACCTGGATAATGAACCTCAAACTACCTAGATATGGTCTTAAAATTCTTGTTATAGAGCCTTGAACAACCTGAATAAAAAGCCTCAAACACCTGGATGGAGAGCCTCAAACACCCCCCAAAAAAGAGCCCCAAATAACCTGCATGAAGAGCCCTGAGCAGCCTGGATTAAGAGTCTCAAAGCCGAGAAAGGAGGCTTAAACAACCTGGATAATGAACCTCAAACTACCTAGATATGGTCTTAAAATTCCTGTTAAAGAGCCATGAACAACCTGGATAAAGAGCCCCAAACAACCTGGATAATGAACCTCAAACTACCTAGATATGGTCTTAAAATTCTTGTTATAGAGCCTTGAACAACCTGAATAAAAAGCCTCAAACACCTGGATGGAGAGCCTCAAACACCCCCCAAAAAAGAGCCCCAAATAACCTGCATGAAGAGCCCTGAGCAGCCTGGATTAAGAGTCTCAAAGCCGAGAAAGGAGGCTTAAACAACCTGGATAATGAACCTCAAACTACCTAGATATGGTCTTAAAATTCCTGTTAAAGAGCCATGAACAACCTGGATAAAGAGCCCCAAACAACCTGGATAATGAACCTCAAACTACCTAGATATGGTCTTAAAATTCCTGTTAAAGAGCCTTGAACAACCTGGATAAAGAGCTCCAAATAACCTGGATAATGAGCCTCGACAGCCTAAATAAAGAGCCTCAAACACCCCCAAAAAAGAGCCCCAAATAACCTGCATGAAGAGCCCTGAACAGCCTGGATAAAGAGCCTCAAACGACCTGGATGAAGAGCCTCAAAGCTGAGAAAAGAGTCTCAAACAATCCGGACAAAAAACAACCATATTTGATAAAGAGCTCCAGACAACCTGGAAAAAGAGCTTCAAGTAATCTGGATAAAGAGCCTCAAACAACCTGGATGGCGGTTAATTAAACACTAGTACTAATGGTGGTAGTGAGACTAGTTGACGTTTTAAGAGAAATATGAGAATTCAGTAATACAGACTTTAACTCTAAATGCTGCTTCATGAGGATACACCTGGAGTTAGATACTCTCCTCTGGTTTGGAAATGTAATCTCTGCTGCAAATGTTAATGATGTCACACTGATGATTGTAGTGTGACCTCATGGTCTGGTGATCTAAGACTCAAACCACGTAACTGCAAAGTCAATCACGGCTAGCTGTGGTAATGCACAGTCAGCAGGTAGAGACCCATAAACACTCTGAGACTTTAAGTCTGTTCTATAAATACAACACAATAATAACATCCAGTGTTTCATCTCATTCACTGTCGACTCCAGTGTTCGTCTACGATCATTAAAGCATCACAGAGTTTAAACTCAGTCATCAGTCGTCATCATTCAGTCCAGTGTGCAGTGTGTCACACACGTCTCCTCAGCAGGTAATGAGTCAATCTGTCATTGAGGCAGAGCTGCTGCTGTAACTGTAACCATCCGGCCTGCTCAGCACACACTCATGTTTCATACAGATAACAGAGGAGTGTGTAAACTGATCACACTGAAACACTGATCGATCCCCCCTGACAGAGCCTGTTATTATATATTAGGTGTGGGGGATACAGGAAGGTATCGAGATATTTTTGTGTGGCAATATTGTATCCTCACACAGTTCAAGTATAGACTAATTAATGTATAAATTATTAATATTACAAATACAAATTCAACTTTAGGTGGCCTACTAGAATAATAAAATCAATTGCTTTTTCAGTCCACTAGGTACATTTTGCAGCAGGAAATAAAATTATCTAAGTCAGATGAACAGACTAAAAACACTTGACCTTATTAGGTAAAACAGACGTTGACAAAGTTTTTCTTTGGTGTCATAATTCATAGTTGAAAAAAGGTAATAAATCGCATGACAGCTGACTTCATTTCAAACTTTAACAACAACAGTCTGATTTAAAGACCAGAGTTTTAAAGGCCTCTGACGGGGACATGACACAATGAAATACTGGGGCTAGTTGTACAAAACACCTTAAATTAAGATTTTCCTTAAATCCTCATTAAGGTTTCCTTAAAATATTCTCTTAAATATTTAATGGGCCTGTCCTCGTCTTGGTCTTTTGCTTAAAAAAACGGTTGCACAAAAGACCAACAAGCATATCAAAGCAAGGTGAAAAAAACTTGAGGTATCTCTGACTCTACTTTAACGGCAACTCCTTTTAAGGGATTCTGTGCAACTATGGAAGTCCCTCAAGTAAGGAGAAATTATCGCCGTCAGCCTCCATTAGGTGGAGTTGTGTTGCTACCTCCTCTCCCCTTGGATCTCCGCAAGTGATGTGAGGACTCTAAAACTTCACCTGAGCCTCCCTCGGCATATGGGTGAGTAGATAATGGCTGAATTTTCATTTTTGGGTGCACTATCCCTTTAAGTGTCATAGTTCAGGAGAAAACTTCCCTGGATCTAATCTAAACTACACACCTGAGCTCAAAGCCATACAATCCTCTCAATTTCTGATTCTAAGATACAGAGACTTTTTACCCAGAAGAGACGAGCTGATTCATCCTCAGGACTTTACAGATGACTGTAAATGTCTCTTTCTGTCGTTTGTGATGTTGAAGATAAAATCCATTAGAGGAAGCTGAGGAGCAGAGGAAGAAGCAGGAACTGCTCCCTGAGGAGATCTGGTGCCTCCTTTTCTTTTTCTTTACAAGGACAAATACATAAGACACTGCTTTATGGCCACGGCTAATCTGGGACTCCAG